TGAGAGATGCACATCTCTCTTTGGAAAGCCAAGTGGAAAATAAATTAAAATGTATTTTAAAAAGAATGTCCCACTTTGCATAACAAATAAGAAACTCCTCATTTTATTTAGCTTAGTATTCTATACTGCTGTGGGTTGCTTCCTTTCCTTCCCCTCCCAATTTTAGTCCAGATAATTACATTTTGAGGAGAAATGTGATCTGGGAAGTGATAATAAGCAGTGATTGCATTTAAGCCTTTTTTAAATTTCTTTCTTTTTTTTTTTTTCTTTTTTAACCTGCCTGCACCTGTCCTCTCCATCCTGATCAAACCTGAAACAAACCAATTTAGCAAAATTTTGGTTATTTTCTGTTTTTCTTTCTCTGAGGTTACACAACTGTATTGGCAATAAAAAAGTATAAAAATGAGTAACTTTAAAAAATGCAAAAAGTGAAAGAAGAGAGAAAGAAGGAAAAGAAAAGCCTAGAAAGAGCAACCCCAGTGGGCAATAGGGGCTCCTGGCAGGGCTGCTTCTGCAGAGGCCAGGGTTCTTAAATATCTCTCCTAAATTATCCCAAGATGCTCAGAACAAAGACCACTCAAACATAATGGGTATGAGCTGCATCCAGTACCTAGTGAAAATATTCTTTAGAAAAGATATATGAGTTTTGCTATGCATTACATTGTCTAATGTACCTGGAGGCACTATAAGGTCTAAGGTGAAATCTAGTTAAACACAAACAATTTAAGGAGATACTAAAAACATTTTTCAATTTAGGAACAAGCAAATTATGATAAAACAGTTTTTGCAAGAAGATGGGTATAAACAGCCACTGCAGAGATTTCCTTATGCAGTATGTAAAAAGAAACAGGAATTTAAAAAGTAGCATATCCTCTCCCATTCCTCAAAATACCATCTGTAATGCCTTAATTTCCTAAAATAAATCCACAGTGAATTAAATGGGTTATATGTGTCTATTGGGGGGATTATATATTGTAAACACAATTATAGGTCTTAAAATAAAGCTATTTCTAAGCCCTCCAAAAGATGCTTAATAATGATTAGATTACTGAGGGACTGATTAAGGAGAGATATTGGCTTTAGAAGTGGCCATAGTGAGTAAATTGTGTAATCCAAACATGGTTCGGAAAACAGAAGCACTTTCCAATTTAAAGAGAACTTAGAAGTGAGTCAATGCCACAATCCTCCTCCTCTTCAGCCAGGCTTCGGCCTTAAAGACAAATAAATAAATAGATAAATAAGAGACTTTCAAGTTTTTTCAGCAAAGCACCACAGTAACCATAAACAGGCCTATAATGAATTATAGAGTCACAGAATGGTTTGGGTTGGAAGGGACCTTAAAGACCATCTATTTCCACCTGTCTGCCATGGGCAGGGACACCTTGCACTAGACCAGGTTGCTCCAAACCCTGTCCAAGCCCAGCCTTGAACACTTCCAGGATGAAGACCTTGTTAAGCCTATATCTTGATTTGACCTGTGATGGCGAGGACAAATGCAGGTCCAGTGCTACCTCAGGTCATGCCCAGCTCCACCTGAACAGCCCTGGGAGGATAAAACAGCTTTGGACACCTCTCCTCTCTCTGCTCTGGAATCACATTTTACTTATGTGAGTAATCCACACTGACATCTCATTTAAAATGAAGATTTTTAAGTCTCAACGAGACAGAGACACATCTGCCCCTTATAGGAATAAACCAACTAAAGAGCATTAAACTAAAACAGAAGGAAAATATTAAGTATAATCTTTCATTTTTCTCTTTTTGAACTACAGTGTGGAGTTTGCATTGTGGCAGATAATAAGACAAAGCAGGACAAATGGGAATCCCTCTGGAGTCAGTGGCAATGCTCTTCCTGACATCCATGAAATGAAGACTTGGCCCAAGGCCTTTGAATCTGATTGTTAGATACAAATTACAATAGGAATGGCTGAACAGGGAGAGAGCTCCAAAATATGTTGGAGTTGCTGCCACATGGGGAAAAATGGAAGACAGAAAATGATAATTCCCTTTCAGTGACATGCTGAAGGAACTGCACTTTACAACATACACAGATGGACAGAAAGGAAGGAGGTTCAGCTGTCCGAAGAAGGACCCCATTTAGGAAAAAAAAAAGTATTTTTAGCAACCCTACTGCCTTCTGAAAGAACAGCTTGCATCTTCAGTACTACCCCAGAACTACCTGCCTATGTTAACAGAGCAGTGTTGCTAATGGAGCAGCAAATGAGTTCAACATTTTGCTGCAAATAAACTCAGCTGAGTTTCAAATGAAAAGAGTGACTGGAAGGAGAGGCAATTTCTTTAACTTCCAACAATCTTGCATTTTATGTGAAACTTGGGGTTCTGGTAACTAGCTGGATCTTTAGCATTGATTCCCATAGTACAGTTTTCAGCTTTGTCTAATGAGAAAACTTAATTTTGTCTGTTCCTTTCTATACACAGTCACAATAATGTAAAGGTGCAGTTCAAAGCAGAGAGCACACATCCCTTCCAGCCTCTCCATTCCTGCATGCTCCCCGACAAACACACAGGTCACAGGACACATTCCTGGCCAGGTGTGTGGTGATCCAGACACATAAAGAGCAGTACAGCTCAGGCAAAGGCAGATCTGCACTCTGAGATATTAAGCATTAAGTGATTAATGCTATATTTGAGTTTTGTTGTAGCCCTTGTGACAGTTTGACAAGCTGATGGTGATGACAATGGCTCTGTCCTCACAGTGCATATTGGAAAGGACCCCACGCTGTCTCAATGAAATCTGAAACTCAAAATATAATCAAGCAAACTGCAACAGCAAAAATCACCAGGGCACGAGAGAGACTGAAGAGCTCTGCAGTGCCACAGCCTGTGGGTAATTCAGCCTGTGCCAGGTACAACACACGGGGTGGCATAATCCAAGTGTCTTTGGTTTTTCAGATATGCCTGGCAAGTGTGTGGAGGAACAGCACCTGAGCTCCCTCATACAAGCACTCTATAGAAACACAGTAAGGATGAGACCACGGGAGAGCAGGAATGACTGTTGAATTAAAGTGCTGAGCTCAGGGTCAAAAGACATGAGGATTCATTTCTGCCTTTATCATAAAATCCCCATGTGAAAATGTGTGGGTCAAAGGGACTTCTCAGGTTATCTGGACCTTGGAACAAGCATAAATTTTCAATCTATTTACACTCACAAGACGTGATGAGCTATAACCTCTCTAGTCTCTGGAAAAAAATGACTTCAACCTGCAAGCCTTGAGAACATCTGAAGAGTTCTCCCCTAAATCTTTCCAGCCTTCAGCCTCACCAATCTGTTTTCTTTTTGAGGTGCTTTACTGTGGTAAACCAGAAATCCCTGCATGGTAATGGAATACACGATTTTGCATTAATTAGTAATACATAATATTAGATGTCTATTGTATGGCATAGTCTATGTATTCTTTGCCTTCAATGAACTACCATTTGCCTTCTGTGAACTGAGTTTTAGAATTCTGCAATTTTACATTAGGATGAACAGCTGAATGGTCTCACTGGTCATTTTTTTCCCCCTGTTTGCCTGTCTGTTACACAAGTGCAGAATAATGTCCTGGATAGATAAATAAGCCTCTTATTCCAGTATTTCTAATAATGTTTTCCAAAATCATTCCTTGCTTTGAGGACACTGTAATGATACATCCATTTTCAAATTGTCCTTTATAATCTTCAAAGTCTGTAAAAACTGCAAATGTAAGCAGTTCACCTTTTAGTTTCTCCCAGAGCATATTAGGACAAGTTTAGTGTTTTTTTTTTTTTTTTATATTTAAATGCCAATAATGTAACTTGGCAGTTAGATTCTGCTCTTTACGATTCAGTTACAGCTATAAATCAAGTTCTAGTTCTCTGAAATTGAATCAGCTTTAGCACTTCTAAAATACTTCCATAAGCCTTGATCATGTGAAACCAAGGAACTAATAGAGGATTTTCATATTAAAACTAGTGGATGATACTCAGATGTGGTTAATATCATGTAATCAAAACCAAACCCCCCTGTTTCTCAGTTTGGGACTTACAAACAATTTCTAAACCCTGAAATCTTATATAAAATTAAAGCAGTCATCTTAATGACAATTTTACCCTAGAAGAAGCCATTCAAAGCAGCCAAATGTTTCTTTGCAGTTTTATGAAATACATTTATAAAACATTAAATGTTATAAAACATTTATTAAGCAGCAAACAACAGATGTGCTCTTTAGATTAATCATTGGCCAAAGAAAAGTGAAGGAGTCTCAAGGACGAAAGTTGTGTCTGATGTTTGGTTTTTAACAGAGAGCAGGAGCACATGAAAAAGAATTTATGTGACTTACTAAGGACATTGTATTGAAAGTTGCTTCAAATGAAGGAGCAAATTAAGCAACCTTGTTTAGATGGCACAGCTTCTTAGATCTGCCTTCAGGACAGCGTGGCCTAATACACCATGGAAGGCTCTTACAAAACTTGATAAAGTAAAGCCATCTTTGGAGGGAAACACAGGATATATTCCATATTTAATAGGATAGGCCTGATAAAGAGGATGGAAAATGGAACAGGGATGCCAGACCATACCTGCCTGCTCAGCACACCTCATTCAGCCCTTCTAAATCTGGCACATGAACTGTGCAGTGCGACAGCAAGTGCCAGGCACTGACACGGGCTGGGCACAGCAGAGCACGCCCTTGGCACAGACAGGGCAGGACAAACACTGCCAAACACCCTACCCTGTCAGCTGCTCTGCTGTGCACAGGCACGGGGAGCTCTTCTGCAGCCCACGGGCACCAGGAGCCACAGCGAGCAGTGCCGGTGGGCAGGGCCACCCTCCCCACCGATGGGGTGTGGGGTGGGACTGAGCCTCCCGCCCGCCCCGCCACGGGAGCTGGGGGTCCCCACGTCTCCTCCCTCTCCTCTGCTCGGAGAGAAATGTAACACCACCGCTGCCAGCAGTGACTCCCGAAGCAGGTGTGTGCAACCCTCTGCTCTTTCGGGGCCGGGAATCGAAAGGCTTTGCTCACCTCCCTCGTTATCCTTGTTGTCGGCACAGGCGGTTTCCATGGCGACGCTGCATCCCGGCCCCCTCCAGCCGCTCTGGCAGACGCACTGCCAGCTGTTCTGGCCCAGCGTGCACCTCCCGTTGCCATTGCACAGGTCCGGGCATCCATCTGGGAGGACAAACGCAGAAGGTAAGCCCAGGGCACACCCACCCCGCTGCAGTGTTACTGTGCAGACAAAAAGGTCCTGCTGCTGGGACAAATGCTCTCGGTGAAGAAAGGGGACACCTCTGAGAAATGGGGATCTAGCTCGAGCCAAAGGGCAGGAGGATCCCCACCTGCTCTAATACATGCCTTAAAAATCCTGTGAAGGTTCAGACCTTGAGTTGACAGTCTGCTGACAGAAGATCTGACTCCTACGTGCACACAACATAGGGAGGGGGAACATCATCTTCAACAAGCTTGTCAATGCCCAGAGGGCTTTTGCACTGTCAATTGCATCATTCTCCAGGGTGTCTCTAAACACAAGGTTTAAATAAATAGTTTTGTCTCTAAACACAAAGTTTAAATAAATAGTTTTGTCTCTAAACACAAAGTTTAAATAAATATTTTTGAAAATATTTTCCTTCACTGACAGTGGTTCTAGGCTACCTACTTATTTAACGCTAAGTTTACTTATATTACGAATGTAACATTTTGCACTTTTTGAAAAACACATTAGAGGAGATATCCCCCAAAAGATGTATGTTTTGAATTGATTATGGATATGACATGACTTATTGTATAGCAAGAGCCAAAATAGGAACAAAAATATTAATTAGCTAAGCTGCTAACAAATGCTAACGTTCTAACAAATGTCCATAGGTGATAGAATACCTCAGCTGCTTTTTCCTGGAACTAAATGAGTCTCAGGAGGCACTACTGGTACTTTACTGAATATTCATTATGAAGAAGGGTGAGAAAACCAAACTGCAGCCTTGGTAAATACAACTAAATCCATCAGTACCCAATCCTCACAAGCACATGTATTTGTCTGTGGAGGTGACAGAAGAGATTTAAGTGACCTGCAGCAGGTCTCTCACTGCACCTCTTCACAAGTCTGAGCAGAAGACTGTGTGGCCATACTGACAATAGGTGTTGGATCTCAAACATTCACAAGCTCTCATTTGAGTTGAAAGTACAGTCTGATCCTGCCATCTCTACAACCACTGGAGAATATGGAATAAAGATCTCATTGCTGTCACTTTTGGACAGAAAATTTTACCTCAGAACGGCTCACAAGGTTTCACCTCTCCACCAGCAGTGATGAGTCACTGTTGGAATCAAGACATGCAGGGACCCACTGCAGCTCCCTCAGCTCTCACTGACTGGCTGGGTTAGTCCTTCACATTTGACACCGTGCCCCCAAGCTGTGACTATTAATTAAGTATTCCACTCCTCCAGGTATTTTAAGAGCACAAAAGGACTAATGGGCACCCTACCAGTCTGTGGATACTCTTCTCATCAATTGTGAGTGAGGAAGGTAGCAGCGAGAAATACCCTGAAAACAAACAAATATGTTTTCTTTGCCTGACAGCACCGCCTCAGATGTGCAGCACTGGAGAAAGGCTAAGATGACAGGATGTCACCTTTGTGCCCCTTGGCCTCTGCAGGTAGCAGGGAACAGAAGAAATGGCCAAGCTACCACAGCTTTCCCGCTAGTGTTGAAAGGCTGAAGCCCTCCAGAAATCACTAATTTGGGCTGCTGTTTCTACAAACCTGTTCAGAAAGCCACAGCTCTGAGTTTCTCTCTTCCTGCTCCTCCCAACTCCTTGGCTGTAGCCAGGTGATGGCAGAGGGCAGTTCCTCTGACCCCACACTGGTTTTCAGACTTCTGCAGGAGTTTACCACTTATCACAACAGGTCCAAGTCTATTCAGTTCATGTTACACAGAAAGCTATCAGATATAAACAAGTCCTATAAGTTCTATTTCAGTGTTGTTGTGTATTAAAAAAATAGTGCCCCTTTCAATTAAATTTACGGTTACTTTGCCATCACATAGCTTAGCTGCAAGAAATTTCACTTACTTTTGCAGCACAGGTAATAGATTTTCAAGACATTTATTTTATCTCTTTCATTTTGTCAGGTTGTTTGAATGACCAAAATGACAGTGTTTGAGGGGAGGCATCACAGTGTAGGACCAATTACTTGTTTTAAAGGGAAAACAAACAGTAATTGTGAATATACACACACGGTTGGTTTTACACCGAGGCACTGAAGAGAATTAAACCACTGAAGCAGTTTGCCTTGCAGCATATGAGCAAGATGAAAACATGAACAGTAGGGAGCTAGCAAAATCCCTGAAAAGTTTTAAGTGCAGCTGGGGATTAATGGACATGACTTTGCGTTTAGTGTAAGGAGAGGAGGCAGCACCACTGCTATAGACATGATGTTGCTAGGAAACACTATGCTACCTCTCTAGAGCTTATTTAACCACAGCCTTCCAAAGACACACTGTTTGAATAACATAAATATCAGAAGGAAGGGAATGAACAGCGGTAGACCATAATAATAAGATACAAGTACTTGGAGAATAATGCCTTCTTTTAAAGATCTATTAAATTAATGATGAATTAACTTCAAAACAGCTTTAAGTAATGGACAACTAACTAGGTATTTTGCATGGTTGTGTCTCTATCTATACATGCTTATGTGTATAAATGGATTTCTGGTTTTGCCTCTCTTCAAGGAAATATCTCTAGCATTACAGTCTATTAGACCAACTAGACAACAGAGCTCCAGATCTAGTATTCACAAGTTTTCTTCTAAATAAAGTTTAAATTCAGGTATTGTGCTGACTCTGCCTTTTTAAATTTTCCTCCATGTGTATGTGCACAACGAGTAGTACTGGTGAGCATCCTCTGCACACACAGCATTTCCACGTGGCTCGTGGGCTTTGATGGCCTTCAAGGGATTTGGAGAGTTTCACTCTGCAGCCCACGCTCAGCAGTGTGCAACCTGCTGGCTTATGAGTTCTCTGAGTAAGGCAGTCACAGAGGGAAGGGCTATCAACATCTTATCTTAAGTAACCCACGGTGGTATGAAGCTCTCAGTCACAGCTCAGAGAACGGCCCCTCGTGCTAAGCAGACAGGTTGCTATTCCTGCTGTGCAGAGCAATTCCCCTCATCTTTTCCATTACAGTATGCTTAATGGAAAATGTCAAGAAGCAAGGTTAAAAAAAGAAGAAAGTGCTTGTTTAAAGTGCTAGATTGACAACCTATTTATTCACAGAACAGGCAGAGTACAGGCAACAGCAGTTCAAGTGTCTCACGCTTTTGCAGCTGCTGCTAAAGGTGAAACACTAATGCAGCCTCCCTTCTCTCTCAGTCTCCAACTTGTCTGTGGGACTGGAAACTGGGACCTTCAGTACAGGTACATATGCAGTAATTAAAACAGCAAGAAAGATTTCAGTATGTTTTGCATAGGAGAGATCATCAGAGTCAGAATCGTTATGAACAGCAAAAACCACGATACGGACAGTGCTTGTTTTGAAGATGGGTAGTGCTGGATATATTTACAAGAGAATACTCATAGGTTTCATCTACAATGAAATTGTTCTGACACCAAATTAGAAGGTGACTAATTCATTTTTTAACTTGGCAAATTCATTTCCAGTGCCTTGGCAGTACATCAAAAATTCCAATCCAGTTTTGGATAAATTCTGCACAGAGTTCCTTTTCAGTCCACTGATACTCACAAACTCCAGGTATACAAATACACCTGTCCAGCTTCCCAGACATACACAGATTTTTCCTTTGCATAAACTACTTTAAAATTGCAAAACAAACATTTTAGGTAAATTGAAATATAAAATCTGCCCATTTAATTTGTGGTTTCAGTCAGAATCATCAGAACTCCCACTTATGGTGGAGCAAATCATTCTGGAAAGAAAAGAAGGGAAAGGGCAACCAGGGATAGAGAAGTCAGAGAAATCTTGAAGTGAGGCTGGACCAGGTGGTCCTGTGGGTGAAGAAGCCCTGCAGTAGAGTATGTTCTACAGCACAGTGGTTTCTCGCTCATAGGATACACACGAGTTTCAAGGGGATCATTTAAATTACATTTAAATCCTCCTCTTCTCATTAGAGCTGTTAACTACAGAGCTGTAGCAAACAACAGTAGTCTGGGCTACGATGGTACCTGAAGAATATAGAGAAATGACATAAAAGCAGTAATGACAATAGCCTGTTTAATTTGGATTTTAGAGGATAATCACTGTTTTCATATTTTCTGTTCATTCCTTCAGTGAGGTGCTGGTATGCCTACAGCTATCTAGCTAATAATATATGAGGTACATAGAACAAGGTACCTAGCAACATTGAAAATAAAATTATGCTTTTTATTTGCTATTGTTATTTTTAAATCCTTCAATCCCAAAGCCTGCAGGGCTTAGTTAAAGCCAAAGAAAGGGCATACAAATAAAAATGACACATAGTGTTATGATAAGCACACACAAGTTATTTTCTGCAGAGCAACACTTCAACTAAAATAAACTCAACCCCCAAAGTAAGTAACTAAACACATGTCAATGCAATACAGTATTTGTTGAGTGAGAGGTGAAGCCCCTTTGGGTGAGTTTGGACAGTTCCAGAACAGGCTGGAGCCATGCAGGGGCACTATCCCAGGTCTTTGAAGCAGGATAGTGACACTGATTGACAAATTGTTAAGAATTAACCCAGTTTTTCAGTGTAACACAAAGGCCATTGTCACTGCTCAAGTACCACAGCAGCTCTGCTTGGTTTCCAGAGAGGACTCACACAGAGCAGGAGCTTCTCCGTGGCACTGAAGAATTTGCTACCAACATGCTCTGACTGGCTTTCTTGCCTCTTTTTCCTCTCATTCCTTTTTATTTTTCTGGAGAAAACTTTTTTTTTTTTAAAACTATCCAACACCCTAAATATTTTTTTTCAAGCCAGATATCAAACAAAGGAATGTATAGAATAAATATCTATTTGCAGATGTGTCGGGCAGATGAATACATGCCTGAGTTGGCCCAGCTACAATTTTATTTATTGAACAGGCTGGAAAAAAAGGAAAAACCAAAAACTAAGTTTCAAGGACCCTGAAATCCTCCACTCTAATACCTCTTGTGCAGACAAACAATTGTTAATTTTAAGTAAGATTCCTTTAATTG